TTTTTTTTTTTTTTTTTTTAGATTCCACATAGGGTGAAATCATATGGTATTTGACTTTCTCTGTCTGACTTATTTCTCCAACACTTGTTTTTTCTTAGCATAATACCTTCCAGGTCCATCCGTGTTGTTGCAAATGGCAAGATTTCATTCTTTTTATGGCTGAATAATATTCCATTGTATATATACACACCACATCTTCTTTATCCATTCATCCTTTGATGGACACTTAGGTTGTTTCCATATCTTGGCTGTTGTAAATAATGCTGCATTGAACATAGGGGTGCATACATCTTTTCAAATTAGTGTTTTTGTATTCTTCAGATAAATACCCAGCAGTGGAATAGCTGGATCATGTGGTAGTTCAATTCTTAATTTTTTGAAGAATCTCCATACTGTTTTCCATAGTGGCTGCACCAATTTACATTCCCACCAGCAGTGTACAGAGTTCCCTTTTCTCTACATCCTCTCTAGCACTTGTTATTTCTTGTCTTTTTGTTAATTAGCCATTCTGACAGGTGTAAGGTGGTTTGATTTGCATTTCCCTCCCAATGCAATTTATTTTTATTTATTTATTTATTTATTTTATTTTTATTTATTTATTTTTTTCCCCCAAAGCCCCAGTAGATAGTTGTATGTCATAGTTGCACAGCCCTCCAGCCGCCGTATGCGGGACACGGCCTCAGCATGACCAGAGAAGCGGTGCGTCAGTGCGCGCCCGGGACCCGAACCCAGGCCGCCAGCAGCGGAGCGTGCGCACTTAACCGCTAAGCCACAGGGCCGGCCCCCCAATGCAATTTAAAGCCTGAGAATTTATCTGTTTTAGCCTGAAATGTTTCTCCTGAGAGGTGAAAATGCAGGGGTGCTATTGGGGAGGAGTTGAGGTTGCACGTTCCGCTGTAAACTTCAGAGAAGAGGCTGAAACAATGCCCTGCCCTCAGCAAACATGAAGACACCCCAAGCTTGTTTTTACTCCAAAAACTTCAAGCAAAACCTCCACCACATACTGTATGTCAGCACTGGGTTCCCTTGAAAAGAAAAAAAATCTCCAAGCATTTTATTAGAAATAATTTTCAGAGTGTATTCATCAGTCTCAGCGACAACAGCGGAGCTGTTCTCAGCGTTACAGATGGACCCGCACCGTCCAATTGCTTTATCATGTTGGGAAGTGTGTGCTATTATTCAGAACCAGTGGGCCCGTTTTAAATCGCCTGTTGTAAGGTTATTTCATCTTCCATATATCACAAGACATAGTTGCAGTGTAACTAAGATTCATAATTTCCCAAAGGGGAGTGATTCGTCATCCACTTCGAGTCTTACGGTTGGTTCTTTTGCTGGTCTTACTATTGAGTGATTAACGAAACAGCCAAGAGATTTAAAATACTCCTTAGACAGCATTTTCCCTGGAGACCTGCTTGGCTGCAGTTTAATCCTAATGTGTGGAATTAGAAGTTGTGAATGTTTTCACAATATATGGGCAAAGGGAAGCTCGGGCTGTGATGGTGGGAGCTGATGGGGGTGGATAATGCTTTAGGGGTCA